CGGGGCAGTGTTCCTACACCTCCTTGTGAAGCTGGAAGCTGCCAAGACACAGGAATCTCTGGGTGTCCCCGTGGTGGGTCCGATCCTGTGCCGTGTGGTGGGACCTATCTACATCTTTGCTGCAACACATATTGTGGAGAGGTGCTGGACAAACGTGAGGTCTCGGTCAGTGGCACAGGAGGTGCTGGAGTTGCTGGTTCAGGCTGCAGGCTGCAGCTCTGTGGCTGAATTCCTTCGGGGGAAGAATGAAGATGAGGAAGGGAGGTTTGCAGCGGTGATGGGGCTCCTGAAACAGGAGTTAACCAAGTGAGTAGGAAGGGGAGGGCTGTGATGGGGAGCATGGTGTGTTTGGCTGGTCTCTTTGTAGGAAATACTGGAAGCTTTTGGGAATCTCTGAGGTATTAAAAGGCACTGGATGAAGAATATGGGGCTGAAGCTTTACAAATACCTAGTGATTGAAGTCAGGGGGAAATACTGTCAGCCAAGAGGCCTAAAGGTGTAAGAAGTGAGCATTCATTAACTCCAGCATTTGCTGAGCTGAAGTTTGTGTTCCCAGAGACACTTGGAAGCGCAACCCTGCCACAAAGCACGTGTTCTCCTGGACCCTGCCTCACATCACCCGGCCCTGGCTCTGCCGTTACCTGGAGCGGGTCCTCCCACCATCACTGCTCATCTCAGACGACTACCAGGAGGACAATAAACTCCTGGGTGTGCGCTGCCTGCATCACATCGTTCTGAACGTGGTAACGGGGCTGAGGAATCTGATCCCTTTCTGAGTGCTGGTTGAAGGAAGGGTGGGCTGGACACATGTTAGGATTCCCAGCTTCTGTTCCTGGCTCTGATCTGTCTTCCGTACTGTCCCTGCGTGTTTAAATACCAGTTCTTACATCTGTTAACACTAAGCAAAGGATTGCTTTGCCACCTTTTGAACTTAGCTGATTCAACTGTCAACCTGGCAACAGTTTGCAGGGCAGGGTATTAAAGTAATGCCAGTGGAACTGCAAAACAGCAGCTGGGGAGGTAAAAGGAAGTGGTTCCCCCTGTGCATGGCAGGGTTTAACCTGCATTTATTGCAGCACCTACTCCCGCTTTCTCATCTGCAGCGTTCCTAAGGCACAGTATGTGCAAGGCTTTGGGAAGGCTGTTCTTTTACTGGGTTAACTGGGTGCTGAATGTGATGCATAGGAATAACGTTTTGCTTTCTGTTGTTGCAGCCAGCTGCTGATCTGTGCCAGTTCAACAGGGCTCAGGTTGTGTACCATGCCCTTTACAACCACCTCTATTCACGAGAGGCCCCTCTCATTCAGGTAGGGCAGCAGAACTTCATTGTAATCTGCCTTGTAGTAGTGTGTATCAGTCCCATGAGGGTCAGCCAGCGTAAGGCATGAGGAGGCAGAACCTGTTTCCTTGCTGTCAGGCTGTTAATAGCTGATGCCTGTGGCCAAGAGACAAAGTAACTCAGTAGCTTTCAGGAAAATATCAAAGTAGAGGGAAGACCTCTTGCCTTCTGTCCACTTCCAAGTGGCAGCCTTGCTGATAAGGCTGGTAACAGGTAGTAGCTGTGTCTGAACTGCAGCAGCTGTGGGTGGTCAGTGGGGCTGGGGGTTCCTGGTGTTTCAGAGGGGACATGAGCAGGATTGCCCGGATTTACTGTCTCTCGCTGGCTCAGGCAGTGCTGCTGTGCCTGCTGGACTTGCTGCCAGTCCTGGAGAGAGCCCAGCGGCAGCAGAAGCAGGTCAGACCAACCACTCACTGCGATGAGGTGCTGCAGCTGGTTCTGACCCACATGGAGGCAGAGCATCGCCTCGCGCTGCGGCGGGTGTACACCAAGGCCCTGCCTGCCTTTGTGCAGAGGTGAGAGCAGCCACCACGGCCCTGCAGGGACCTGCTTTGCCCTCGGTATTTATCTCCCTTCTCAGTGTGTGTTTATTCGCGTTGGCAGCCTTGGCATCCTGATAGCACGGCACCTGAAGAGGCTGGAGCGAGTTATCTTGGGCTATCTGGAGGTCTGTGATGGCCCTGAGGAAGAAGCCCGACTGGGAATATTGGAGACATTGCAGTGCACCATAGAGCGCGCTTGGCCCAGGTACCTGTCTGAGGGTGAAAGACACTTACAGAAGGTACATCCTGAATGCTGTCACCCTTTCAGAGCCAAAGTTTCTGTTGCTTGAGGAAAAGGCCCTGAAATCTGAAGGGAGACTGTCACAGGGAGGAATCACTGGCATTACCCAGCTGAAAAATTAAGCTGGGTCCTCTTTTTGATCTGCCTTCTGCCTGTTCTAGAAGCATCAACCTGGCTGAAAACGGAATCTGTGTACTCTGTATGGCAGAACTGCAGAGTAAGCCCTGTGCTGCAAACTGGGCTGCCCAATGACAAGCATTCTTGATACTCCATCCCAGGGCTACCTCTGTGTTCAGGGCCTGTGTGTGTCCTCCCCCTTGTGGGCACATTGAACGAGGCAGCTTCTTCAGCCTCACTGCTGAAGCAGTTCCTTGTCCTGCAATTCCTGTTCCACATGTAAAAGGCGAGTAGCAGCTCCTGCCTGAAGGGTCCAGGAACTGCCAAGCAAGGCTGTGCTTTCCCTTGGCTTGCAAAGAGGATTTGGAATAAGGTGGAGTTTCTGTTTGCCTTTGCAGAATGCCATGCAGACTCCCTGTGCTCCTCAAAGCCCTGCTGAAGATGCTCTGGGACGTGCACGCTGACCAGGGTTCAACACCAGAGCCTGTAAAAGCTGCCTTGCTCCAAGGGGCCACCAAGTGCCTCATCCTGCTGGATCGCTGCTCTGAAGGGCAAGTGAAGGTGA